TTCAGGATCTTACCACGAAGAAGACAATTGGAGTTGCTAATGAACAGGATGGGTTGTATCATCTCCTTCCAGACCATGCTAGCAAAAATCAGTTATTAATGACACGTCATCCTTCTACTGCAGAGTCTATGATTTGGCTCCATCACAAGCGTCTGGGGCATCCACCATTTAGTCTTTTGAAGTCTATGTTCCCCTCTCTGTTTCTCAATAAGTCGGTTGAGACCTTTCATTGTGATGTTTGTGAATTTGCAAAACACCATCGAGTGTCATTTCCTTCTAGCACTATTAAAAGCAGGGAACCTTTTTCTCTTATCCATTCTGATGTTTGGGGCCCTTCTAAAGTGCACAGTGTTTCAAGTGCAAGGTGGTTTGTTTCTTTTATTGACGATTGTACTCGGATAACATGGGATATACTTGATGAAAGACAAGTCTGAAGTACCAGAGATATTTATTCAGTTTCATCACATGGTTGAGACTCAGTTTGGTAAGGGTATTAAAAGACTCAGATCTGATAATGGTACTGAGTACGTCAATCAACGCCTGTCACAATACATTTCAGACAGAGGTATGATTCATGAGCTCACATGTGTTGATACCCCTCAACAAAACGGGGTTGCTGAAAGGAAAAATCGTCATCTTCTTGAAGTTGCTAGAGCACTACTTTTTCAGACATCTGTTCCTAGTTCTTATTGGGGAGAAGCAGTATTAGCTGCAACTTTTTTGATCATTCGTTTACCTTCACGGGTCCTTAACAATATCAGTCCTATTCATTCCATGACTTCCTTCTTTCCTTCTGTTCCCATATTGCAGAGCCTTCCACCAAGAGTGTTTGGATGTGTTGCCTTTGTCCATGTTCATAAACAACATCGGAGTAAGTTGGATCCTAGGGCTCTTAAGTGTGTCTTCCTTGGTAATAACCCTTATAAAAAAGGGTACAAGTGTTATCATCCACCAAGTCGGAAATTTTTTGTTTCTATGGATGTCACCTTTCAAGAATCTGAATCTTATTTCCTAGGTCCTCATCGTCAGGGGGAGAATAGTTCTTCAGAAGAATCGTCCCCTTCCTTCTTTGAGTCTGGATCAATCTTCTCTCTTCCTAGTGTGTCTGCTCCTGGTGTGTCAGAACCTTCAAATACACTTGAGATACAACCCATACTGTCTCACCAGCAACCTCAATCGTCTGAACCACTGGTAAGTCCTGAATCTCCTATTTCATCTGAGTCTCCTGAATCTCCTGTTTCTGATTCTAATATTATTTCCTCTCATGATTTGTCTATTTCTTCTGATATCTCTAATGACTTACCCATCGCTTCTACTTCTGATGACTTACCTATTGCTCTTAGAAAAGGAAAAAGATCTTGTCACAAGAAAACTTGTTCCTCCTGTCCCTCTTGTACTCAATACCCTATCTCCCACTTTGTTTCCTCTGCTAATCTTTCTGTGCAGCACAAAAGCTTTGTTTAAGCACTAGATTCTATTGCAATCCCAAAATCAGTACATGAAGCCTTGAAAGATAGGAATTGGGCTCAAGCCATGCAAGAGGAGATGAATGCTTTGGAGAAAAATAAAACATGGGAGGTTATTGATAGACCCAATGGAAAGAAAGCAGTAGGGTGCAGATGGGTTTATGCCCTGACATATAATTCTGATGGCACTCTTGAGAGATATAAGGCTCGATTAGTGGCCAAAGGTTACACTCAAACCTATGGCATTGATTATGAAGAAACCTTTGCTCCAGTTGCAAAGATGAATACAGTGAGAATCTTGTTATCCCTTGCTGCCCATTACAATTGAGATATAAATCAATTTGATGTGAAAAATGCTTTCCTCAATGGTGAGTTAGAAGAAGAAGTCTACATGGAAATCCCGCCTGGTTTTGATTCTGTGAAGGGGAAAAATAAAGTTTGTAGATTAAAAAAGGCCTTGTATGGATTGAAGCAGTCACCTCGTGCTTGGTTTGGAAGATTTACTAAGGTTATGATGACCTTAGGATACAGACAGAGCCAAGGAGATCACACTCTTTTCTTCAAGCACTCCCAAAATGGGAAGCTTACTGTGCTCCTTGTATATGTTAATGATATTATTATCACAGGTGATGATTTTGTGGAGAGACAGATTCTGCAAACACGGCTTGCCTCTGAGTTTGAAATCAAAGACCTTGGGAAACTGAGATATTTCCTAGGGATAGAAGTAGCTCATTCAAGCAAAGGAATTTTTATCAGCCAGAGGAAATATGTTCTTGATCTTCTCAAAGAAGCAGGAAAGCTCGGGTGTAAACCCTCTAATACTCCTATTGAGCAGAATCACAAGATGGGCTATGAAGAAGAGAGTCCTCCAGTTGATAAAGGACAATATCAACGGCTAGTTGGAAAATTGATATATCTGGCCCATACTAGACCAGACCTAGCTTATGCTGTTAGTGTTGTCAGTCGGTTTATGCACGATCCAAAGGAAAAACACATGCAGGCAGTAGAGAGAATTCTTCTGTATCTTAAAGGTACTCCTGGTAAAGGATTGTTATTCCGACGTGATGGCAATCTATCTTTAGAAGTCTACACAGATGCTGATTATGCTGGATCCGTGACTGACCTTCGTTCTACCACTGATTATTGCATGTTTCTTTGTGGTAACTTGGTGACATGGAGAAGTAAGAAACAAGATGTGGTTGCCAGATCAAGTGCAGAAGCTGAATTTCGAGCTATGGCTCAAGGCATTTGTGAGTTACTGTGGCTGAAAATTGTACTTGATGATCTCAAAATAAAATGTGAGGGACCTATGAAGCTGCTATGTGATAATAAGTCCGCTATTTGTATAGCTCATAATCCAGTTCAACATGATCGGACTAAACATATTGAGGTCGACCGCCATTTTATCAAATAGAAACTTGATAGTGGGTTGATTACCACTCCATACATTCCCACTGGGCGTCAATTAGCTGATCTATTAACAAAGGGGCTTCCTTCAGACAGATTTCAAGAACTTACTAGCAAGCTGAGAATGATAAATTTCTATTCCTCAGCTTGAGGGGGAGTGTTGTAAATAATATTGATTATTTAGTTTTTATTTAGTCATTTATTGTTGTATTGGGCCAAGCCCTTTGTTGTATTGGGCCAAGCCCATTAGGTTAAAAGTAGGTCAAATATTCTCTATAAATAGAGAACCCTTTGTACACATTATTTACAATTCTATAATATATTAGAATACCTTTTTTCAAGTGTCGACAATATTGAAAAGCCGTTGAAAATTTATTGTGATAATTCCGCAGCAGTCTTCTTTTCTAAAAATGACAAATATTCCAAAGGTGCTAAACATATGGAATTAAAGTACTTTGCCGTTAAAGAAGAGGTTCAGAAACAAAGAGTGTCTATAGAGCATATTAGCACCGATCTTATGATAGCTAATCCCTTGACAAAGAGATTACCGCCCAAGACATTTACTGGTCATGTATGTAGAATGGGCATTATGTCAGCTAATGAATGATGATAATTATTGTTATGTATTAAGTGTTGACACTCTGAGCTCATTGATGAATATATGTTTCTGATATTGTCTTATTTTCAATTTATGTATGCATGCAAGTATATGTGATGATATTGAAAATGTTTATGGTTCCATAATGAAGACATTATTGTTGGACATAATGTGTACTTCCTATTAAAAGATCATGTTAGGAAGAAGAGTCAATATAGTGGTACATGGAAGGGACTATGCCGACTTAATAGCATACAACCGTCATGACTCATGTTGATTTTATTTCTAATAATGAATTATGATGAGGTCAATGTATGGAACCTTAGCCTAGTAAATGCGCATTATAATTAATGTTGATTAAATCATGAAGGGACACCTCATAACATGAGCCAAGTGGGAGAATGTAAAACTATTTGTCTCATGTGTAATATTATGTGTCAGTTGGTTTAATTAATAAAAAGGGCATAACGGTAATTGACGGTTCAAGGGAGTTGGGAAGTTATTTATGGATAAATAACTGGTGACAGGTTCAGTTATTATAAGAGTTTTTGGTAGTTTTCTAAGAACAGTATCTTCATAGAAACTCTCCTTCATTGTCTGCCCATCATAGTTGTATCCAATCACTGTCAAAGAAGATACAAGTAGGGAAAATGGTCAAGACTCTGAGAAAGGCATTCCATCATCAAAGTTCTTCCGCACTAATGGAGAAAGGTACACTTTTATATGAAAACCATGAATTCTAAAGATCCTGTATCATGTTCTTGAATGGGCATTGTTGAACATGAATCATGAATTACTGATGAAATAACTTACACGTAGAAGAGAAGAAAAGAAAAGAAAAGAAAAGAAAAGAAAATATATCTCATATGTTTTATCTTTCAATCTGTTTTTCAAAATTTCATCTCAATCTGTTTTATCTTTCAATCTGTTATAAGTTCACGTGGAATTATGTGAAAAAATATATATCTCATGTTTTTATTTGTGCGTAGAAAAAAATTATTTCCTACAATATGAAAAATATTAATTCTTTGAAAAAATAAGAAACAAAGGTATTTTGAGAATTTATTTTTGTGTTATAATATTAAGTTTTCAAATTTTTATCTATTTCAAATTTATCTTGTTCGATATGATATTTTCAAATAATTTATTATAATAAATTATTTTAGCATTTTTTATTGAATTTGTATAAAAACAATAGTCAAATCAAATAATATTTCAATATTAGAAAGTTAGCACTAGTGAGTTGCATTCCAATTTCCACCGAGTATCGTATGTCTATGATTATGAATTGATTTCATCATAATGAATTGTGAATATTTGGTGGGAAAATTAACTTTTCCAACCCCTACCACAATAATGTGAGTCAAATCAATAGCAGTGGATCCGCACATTGTAAATAAGACAGAGAGAAAAGTGTGTTTAAAAGTTGGTTAGATATGATTTTCTAGAAAAGCATTTTGTCAAACACGTTGCCTCCAATCTGTTTCATTTTCAGTGAATTTTAACATACGATTAAAAAAAGTGAAAAAGGTTGCCTTCCCCTACTGGGTTTGTTTCAAATCTGCAATTTCCAAACCTGCGAAGCCGTGAGCTTGTTGTGGGTACGAAACCCAACTTTGTTTCCACTGTGTTTAATGTTTTCTGTCTTCAATTGTGGATCAGAAATGTTTTTCCTTCTTCTGCTCTGCTGTGTAGTAATGGGTTGTCAGATTCAAAGTACTACTCTCTGAATGTATGGAAATTTGGTTGAATTGAAATGCAATGCCTTTTTCCTTTGCTTTAATTTCTGTTCAAACTAAATCATTGGTTTTCTGTTTGTAATTTTGTATATGCTTCTTTGAATTGTCAAATTTGATGATTCCTGCGTTTGATTTAGCTGTCTCTTGGTGAAGCTCCTTGAAGTTGGATTCTTTCACTCTTGTCTGGGTTTTGCTAATGTGGCTGGTGTTTTAGGTTTGATTCTGCTTCATCCCTAACCATTTTGATTTGGTAGCCATTTTTTTGCTTTGTGGGTTAATTCTTTTTCCTTTTAATTCCTTCTTTTTCTCCCCTTTTCTCCATGGACACTGTCATATTAGATTATTATAGTTGAGTTGGCATTCTCATCTGGAAGTCATGATGTGTGGTTGTTGTCTCGTGGCATACAAAGAGAGTGAGTGAGAGTATCTTGTATTGTATGTATACAAGTTCTGTAGAGATAATGATCCACAATATATAATGTTTCAATCTGGTGATCTGCATTTCACGAATTAATCAAGTTTGTTATTTTGTTGATCTTTCTGCTCCTAGTTTTGGTCTTTCCTGGAAAAACTAGTTTGCTTGTTTTGTAGCATAAAATTCCATGAAGCTTAGTAGGGAATAGGGATTACTAATTTGAATTATTTCAGAATGGATGCTCTGCTATTTGATGTTGGAACTACGCTTTTGTAGGTGAATCTAGTGAATCCCCACCCCTCTTGTTCATTTCTCCTTGCATATATGACGCCTATCTCTTAATTTTCAATCCTGACTTGGTACATGAAAGACGAAACTGCTAAATAGTTTTGTAAGAAATTTTTGACTTTTTTTTTTTTTTTTTTTTTGGTACAAAGAAATTTTTGACTTTACAATATGCCTTTACATCTCAAATCATTGGGTGACTCTATTTGCTACAGATAATTGAATAACTGCTGGGAGTATCCATCTCGAAGACTGGAATATTTGGATCTTCAATTTGAGGTAATAGGAGCATGGCTCAGACTCTGGAAGGTATTAAGGGCAGAGGAGGATCCATCAAGCTGGGGACCACTGGAACAATCAGTTCCTTAATGACAAGGGAATTGGAGCAGATCTCTTCTGCATCGCACAAGCAGGCATCTTCAAGAAGTAAACCTCGAACACTTCCTGTATCAGTTCCCTGTGGTAGTACAACCCCAAAAAGACTACAACCAAGAAAATCATCAGATGAAGCCAGTAGTAGTGGAAGCAGTAAAAATACAAACCGTAGAAGCCCTGGAATGTCCCAGAAAACAAAAGCTAATGGAAGAAATACCCATAGAATACCCATCCTAGGTTCTGATAACTTATCAGTGGATAGAAGTCCAGTCAGGGAAAAAAATGATAAAAAGATACCTAAGATTGTTGAAGTTGTGGACATAAAATGTGGGAACACAGAAAAGGCTTGGGCTACCCCTTTAACAACTCGTCTTAAGAAGTTGGGTTTCTCAAAGCTCTCTGAGAGCATTATCTAAAGCTGAAAATATTTTGTGTCAGACTTCAGGTTCCTGTAACTGAAAGCAGAGGTCCCATTTGGCCTGCCGTTGTCTGATACATCCACCATAGAGCACATGCTTGGTAGGAACTTGCTACTTCCTCGCTTTTTCTTTGTACTTTCCACTGTGGATACAACTGTGGTTCTGGAATTCGTGCTAAAGGAGGAACCCACCTCTATAATTTGAGGCTTGTTCCTCTGTGACCTGTTTTGTGAATTCGATCCAATCCTGCTAAAATACTCAATTTCTTGCATAATGAGAGATGCAACAGTGCCTCGGCTGCCTATCTCTACTGGAGGAAATCCAGCCATCTCTTTTGTGTCATTTGTATCAAGGGTAGTGGATTTATGCATGCTTTGATTGGTTACTGTTGCGGAGAAAGCAAAATTTTCTGATTTAAGAAGATTTGTTTGTGGTTTTGTTCAAGTGGGGAAATTGCAGAGACTCGGGGGTATTTTCTTAGGTTTCAAAAGATGTGGTTACACAAGAATTCTTCACCTTTATGTTCTATATTTGAAATGCATTGCATAAGTCCGTGTAGTTGGGAGATTGGTTGATGACAATTGACATGGTCACTGCATCCATGTGCTTGCAGTTAAAACAGTCGAGTTCCTAACTACTGTACCACCCTTTTAATTACTTTAAGTTTCATCATGTTCCTAGCTATGTGCTAGGTCATTCTTTGAGACTCTTGTCAGAGTGGAGTGGATCTGATGGGATTCATGTGAAAGGTAAAAGTAAGATGATCTCTTCCATTGACTTTTTAAGTAAGTTGGTGTTGTATTTTGGTGTCTTAATTGTCAAGAAAGAATAGTAGGCTAACTAGGCCATGAAAGCAACTATTTATTCCGAGTGCTTTTCAGTTTTGGGAAGTATGGATATTTTGTCTCGGTTGGCTCTATCTAATGTGTAATTTAGTTTTATATGGGGTTCTGCGATGGTGTGAGAAAGACTTAACATTTACGAAATCTATATTTATCTACTATTATCTTGAAATAAGCCAAAAACTCTTGATAGAATTCATATAATTTCCTTCACTCAAAATTGTTACCTTGCAACTGTATCATCATGCTGTACGAAACATGCTTTGATGTATTTTAACTACTCTGCATTATGGAATTCATATCTTCCCTTTCTTCTACTGTTGTCTGTATAAATTTATTGCCACCCTACTTTACTACCCAAAAGAGATGGGGCGAGTTTGAAGAACTTGTGCCTCTCTACACTCTAGAAACCGCCACTGCTGGTGGACCCTCATCACGGCCTTTGTTGTGGTGTCACTCACGGGTAGTTCATTCATTTGTACTTGAACTTCTTATTGATACCATTTCACGAGTTGAAAATAAAAATAAAATAAAAAGCATAATAATCAAAGCTAAGGAATGCCCTTTCTCATTCACGAATCGGCCCATCTCCTTACTATTTTATCCATATTGTGCGGTTTAAGAATATATAGCATCCAATTCTTTCTAAGCTCCTTCTAGTCCCAAAGAGGACTTTTATCAGTCATACATAGGAATAGATGGTGACAACTAGGAAGGAGAATGTGGGGAAGTGCCTTTTACAATGGACTACTTAAAAAAGTGATCCACCGGTGCACCGCTCGTAATAAAAATTACCAACTCGGCGTGCTGTGGGTGCCCAGTCATGGAGGTTTGGATGTGAGATTTGTGCCCCACGCAATTTTTTTTTTTTGTGGGGGTGATTATTGAAAAAGAAGTAAGGTGACCTGATTAGCAAGTATAATCATTTATTTAATAAGTTACGCAACATAGTAGCTCAAATAACCTGGGATGAATAATTTTGGCAATGCTTCGATTAGTTTTTAGCAGTGGTATGTAAAGTAGTTATAAAGACAACTCAACTGTTATTTTCAATCATTTGTCATTGTATTTTTAAAGTATGATCAAATTTTTCGATTCTTTTCTGCATTTCATTCATATTTCATTAGCAAGTTTTCAATGGCATTAGCACATGTGAAAATTTCTTTTGTAAACATACCCTAATTAGACTCCTTGAGTTTCGATTAATCCGGAGTAACTGCAAGTTTCGACTCTTTGAGTCGGTTACGAGACTAATCCGGAGTGCGAGATAGATCAGTGATAAAGATTTTAAAGCCTCTCTCAAAAGTGACATATGAGGATCGAATCAAAGCCCTCTTCTTTTAGCTGCTCAATTTTCATGCACCAACTGAATTACCACTATTTGATTAATAGTGTGAAAGTTGAAACATTAAACCCAACTGCCCACTTCACCTCGGCATATTCTCACTATGTCAGTATCTTTCAGCTTTTATGTTTTCCTTATGTTGCGACTAGCTAATAAACTTCAGTTCTGTTAGATTAGTTCACATAAAAGAAAAAGTAGTTTATAGTGCCGTAGGAGTACCCACTAGTCAGAAATTCAGTAATGTTTATTATTTTTTCTATATTTAAAAGGTTAGATTAGGGAAAGACACACTAAAGTGCAAGAATACCGAAAAGCTAAGAATCGAACCGAACCCAAGTCAGGTAAGCAGAAAGTTTGATCAACTATGTCAATCCTTATTTACTTTATTTTTGTTATGCAGCCTTTTGAAAATTATTAATGAGTTGGATGCAAACTTCCAAGAGGCTATTCCAATTTGCGTATATGATTAGAATAAGAGGCATGTTATTCTTATACTGGTAGAGAAAGTAAACCTACCACTAAGAATGCATATGAAGAACTATAAAGAAATGATGAATTAAATAGCTCGTACACAAAAATTTATTTATGAACCTAATATAATAATCATTCACTGTCTAACAATAAAAAGTTCATCTACTTCATTAATTATGGGTGTCGTGCAAAGGTCTAAGGATCTAAACTCAAATTTTAATTTTTAATGAAATTCCACTACATTAATAAGCTATCAGACTAAAACCCAAGTAAAATGCCATAATCCAGCATGTTTTCTCTCCCTTTGTTTATGATAATAATACATCATGTTTTCCTGTTGAACTTTTAGAATAGTTGACATATTATATGCTTAACTAGTAATGCTCCTGCCACATCAGACTACCACCCCGCTCCTTTTTCACTCTCTTATCCACTCTTTAAACACAGTATACACACTGGACAAACGTTTATATAAAGATAAGACCCCCATATACACACGATTTCACCAGATACACAGGCTGCGATAAAGGATTGCTATTCGTTAAGTACAAGAATGTAGAAGCAGTAAGTGTCTTACAAATAAAACATGACGTAACTTAATTGGGCTATAGTTATTAGTTACTACTTAAAATAAAGCTCAACAAGCTTCTTCAAAGTGTCAAATACACTTGTGAAGGGATTAAATTCAATAGGGCCCTTCAGTGCTAGATCAGGAAACTGGTTTGTTAGTGCTTGCTGCATTCCAGACATGGACATCATTGCTGCCAGCTGACTATTGGACATAACTTCGCAATCCTGGGGTGTATCTTTAATTTTGCTTGGATCATATCCAAAGTTTTCCAAGTAAGATTTGTACTTCTCTATAAATTCGGGTCCAGGGTTAGGTGTCCTTGAGTATATCTGTAATATTGATCACAGGGAAATAAATTCTAATTATGAATGACTGTCATAATATATATATATGTGGATTTAGCGGATGTACAATCATTGCATCTAAGGATTGGAGCAGTCATATAAAACTACGTCGTTTTATAATGTGAAAGCATTAAATATAGAAAATCATAACCATATAAAGGTGGAAATAAATATAAAGCATTAAATATGGGGAATCATAACCATACAAAGGTGGAAATAAATATAATATTTTCATTTTCTATAATTAATTTTGAACACGAACTTCCTTTATCTCACCCAAAACGACTTAGTTTTTTGGTGACTATACCAATACTTATATGCAGTCACATTACAATCTTTTTGCCATATATATGTGTGTGTGTGTTAACCTGGATTCCTGCAGGTTAACCAGGTTTAACAACTCTTTTCTACATCCAAAACTATGAAGATATAAAAGGAAAAAACAGAATCATATGCTGCCATGTTCCTTTTACTAATCTTAAGGTGAGAAATTAGCATTGGATATCATATATGCAATCATTGAAAATTCAGAAAAAGTTTTTTGTACGAAGTTAAATAACTACAAAGTTAAATGCTTTCCAAACACATGATCGAGATTACTTGAAGTAGAGCAATATTTTTTTATGTCAGTAAATACCTGAATAAAACTTCTGTCTTTAGCTCCTGAAACAAGAGAAAAGTTGTCATAATCAGTAGCAATCACATCATAAGGTTCCTTGGGAATGAATGGCAATGTAGGAAAGCGGAGATAGCATTTTTCTTTGATCATTTCCTGCTTCTCTAGCTGTGTTTCATTTTTGTCCAAATCTTCTTCCGAAACACATTGAACCCTTCCCCTAATTCCGGTAATAAATCCATTAGGGCCTCCATGAACACAAAAAGTATCAACTTGGATAGATGGTGCTTCCCTATCAAATGTATATACACCCTGAAATGTCATTAGTATACCCAAATTAATATCAAGAAGCTTATGGATGCCAAACAAAGTAAACGACAAGGCTTATCTCCAAGATGCACTAGACTGTTACACTGAATGACAGAATTTTCCACATATGCCTTAAGATTCTGTCTATGCTTCCGAATTTAGCAATTTGTTATGAATAATGTGAAGTTGATTAGGGAAAGAAGCTGTATAAAGAACCAATTCAACCCAAAAGCTTAAGCTGTTGGGTGAGGCGACATTAATGATTTTATATATTTAAACACGCCTCCTCACACGAGAGTCCACTGGACTTGAAGGGTGAACAATGCACAGACCCACCTATCTGTGCGAAGAAAGAAAGAGGCTCTGATACCATATAAAAAACCAATTCAACCTAAAAGCTTAAGCTGTTAGGTGAGGCTACATTAATGGTTTTATATATTTCAACAAGCTGGTAGAACCTAAATGCAATATGCTCTTTTCTAAAATAAATATCTTTCTATATATTGACTGCCATATTTATTTTACCATTACCTGAGTGCAATGACAGTCTTCTTGGCCTTGTCCAGCAAATCCACGTTTTAGTGAAGCAACTTCAAACCATCTTCCCGAATATCTGATAGGGTCAAAATCCTTGGCTGTCATACCTCTCATCATCATCAGATTTGCAACTTGCTCATTAGACCCGTTCTCAAATGGTAGAGTAACTGCATTATCACTGCCACTGGCAAGCTGCGATATATTTTGTTGAGGAGATAGATCTGCTGCTACAGACTGCAGATGAAATAAGATAGTAAAAATTTAAAGCAGCTCACACTCATCATAACAATAGACATATATTTAGTAGATTTCTTAAAAAAAAAAAAATCACTCCCCGTTAAACCCGACTAGCGAATGTGGGGTGGAGGCAATCCCTTGTACGTAGCCTTAACCTTGCATAATTACAAAGAGGCTGTTTCCTGTATTCGAACCCATGACCTTTCAGTCATGAAATAACCGTTTTACCACTGCTCCGGTTCGCTCCCTTTTTTATTAGTAGATTTCTTATCAATCAATAATATTCTCATTTGCTGAATTTCCATACCAACATCCAGCCTTTATAAGAACTTCAATATGGGAAAAACTAAATAGTGAATACAAAATATCGAAATGAGTAAAGAGATCGATAGAAAAGTGGAATGGCACTGATAATGAAAACAACAAAAATAAATAACAGTGACTTTTGCTTGGGTTCTGGAATACAATACATACCTGATTTACTGGAGAAATAAATAACAAGGAAGCAGAAAGCCCAGATAAGACATGCTTAGTCAGAACCTTACTTGGTAGCCCCAATGAGCACTTCAACAATTTTCTTCCTGACACTCCCCTGCATTGTCTGAAAACAAAATTTCATCCTATTTGAACAGCAAGAAAAAGGCTAAAAATAAATTATAACAAAATTATTAACAAAACATGCCAGATTGAGTATCCTATTAGATGAAATTATTAACAAAATTTCATCTAATAATGATGAGACTTCTAATCCCAATGGGAGTCAACAACGAGAAAAAGGAGTCAACCATCTAATTCACTAATTTTTTTTTTTTTATCACAGAACAAAATTCTGAGAGCATAATGAGCAAAGTTCATTCAGGAATACTGGGTACATCGTACATGAATGTGGGAAAGCTACATTAAATACACAGAAAAATCATAAATAAATAAAAAATCTGAAACAAACATGGGGAGAAAAATCATTGTAAAATACTTCAATGGGGTATTCTAGAACTGGAAAAACAAATAATGGGACATCAAAAACAAAGGCTCAGGAACAAAATTACAACAGTTATTAATGCTAAAAATGAAAAGAGAAAAAAAAAAGGAGTTGGGTTTGTTACAGAGGATAAGAAGAGCACTGAAGTAGAGGAGGTGATGCTCCTAGAAGAATCTCTACCATGTCTTTGCTTTCTCACTTGTCTACCGTTGTCCATCGTGATCTTTCTATTCTTCTGGTTTCTATTACCAAGATCCTCTTCAAACATCATCGTCCAAGGTCCCATGAATCAAACTGGGCCTGCCTCACGGGCCAGATTTTTTGTTGAATCATTTGTTCTTTTTTTATTTGGAATTGCCGTTGAACTGGGCTATCAAGGCCCAATTTATTAATTGTTATTTTCAGAACCACGTTATCGCCAAAAAAAATAAATTTGTTCCACTTGTTACTGTTATATAAATTAGTTTAATGTTTTTCATTATTAATTATTAAAAAATTGTTATCTTTGTGTCATGTCACGTGCTCATGTTGTGTGTACGCTTTGTAGGGCATTAGGATTAATGATTGAATTCCAATTTAAGAGAAGTTAATTGTTTATTTTATTTTGATTCCTAATCGCATTGTTCATTTTGGGTTAGATGAGGAAAATATTAGATTATTAGATACAAACCTTGAAGGCTTGAACTCGATCAAACCTTTTTCTTCTTAGGAGACGTTTGATAAGGGGTTTTAATATAGATAATCAGGCAGTATTTCTATTTGATCACGTTTGTTACAAGAGTTTAGCAAATTTTACTAGCTAAATCGTTTCCTCAACTATTGCAATTCATTTGCAAAAATAAATGAAAAATACTGTTTTAAAAAATCACATGGAGGGTGGTATTTGAGATTTAACTAGGAAAGCAAACGGAGAGCCATTTGCTATGACCAAAATGATTAGTGGAGTCTCTTTTCTCTTTCTTTTTTCTAAAAAAAAAGCGCCATCGTAAATACTGCAGTAGATTAAGACTTTCATTTTCTTTGTTGAGGGACTCAATGATAGTCAAAAAAAACCAAATAACTAAAGGGGCATTGTGGTAATTGAATTCTATTTTTTCACCAATATTTTATCTTCAACAAAACATAGATTTTAAAAACTTAAAATCAATTTTTTTCGGTAATTTTTTGTCTTACCAAATAATTTTTTTCTCATTTTTCTACCAAATTCATTTTCTCACTATTTCCCTAGTAATTATATTTTTTTAATAAAAAGAAATATCTCATCTACCAAGCGTCCTCTTAAATGTTGCCGAGACCAAAGCAAAAAATAAAATAGAGAAATAATGGGCAAACCCAAATTTCGAGTAATTGAAAGTGTCTCAAATGTTCAAATCAATACTTGTACAGGCAAGTATAAGTAAATTGAGAGAAGATATATGTACATAGGCTTGAACATCCATATCGTGGTCTAGTGTAACACGCATAATGGTGTCAAATGTCAATTTGTAGCTTCTTGGTGGTGCAGTGATCCAGTTATGGACTGACTTGTGTAATAAAATTGCTTTATGAGAAGGTTCAAGAAATTTAGACCTAAATTTATTAAATTGACCCCTGGGATATTGGATGCATGACACTCGTCCTGAATAATTTTATTTTTTTATTAAATTGAGTGTATGTCTTCTCTGTATATTTTAATCTCATAGATTTCTTCGTCGGTTTATTAATTATTGACTAATTGATCGAGCAAAGTAGAACTATAAAGACGGTAAAACTTTTCCTACTAACTTTTTAACAAAGCTACATACATAAGACACAAACTAAAGACCAACAATCCCTTCCCAATTGATTTAATTTTTTTTAGTGCTTTGTTCATCGATTATTTTAATCTTGTTTAACCTTCATTAAAAACCAAAGATCAATTTATCAGAGTATATAAAATTGACATTAATAATATGGGTTCATATGTTATTCAGAGCCACTGGATATAAGATTTTATCTAGTCACCGCATTATAATTATATATTTCAAAAAATATATAATTATAATATTAATTTTTCTTTTTCTTTTTACGTTAGCAAACAATTTTTAAGGAAAGAAAAAAAAATACAATATTAATATTATAATTACGTATTCTCCAAAATATATAAAACATTATATCCAATGACTGAATACTCAATTTTTCCTAATAATATTTGTGTTATCCTTTCAATCTTAAGCTCAAGACTTCCTTTAGGGCCGGTAGCTTTTAGTCCTGGACTCCTGGGGAGTTCAGTTACAACACATCTAGAGGGATGTGAATCAATGTGCTGATTGGCCGGCGAATCTGTAACTAAATAATCACCATCAGGACTCATTTGCTCGTCTTCAGGATCCTTCACCTTGTTGGACTTCAATATGTTCTCTTCGTAGAATTGGTATTTGATTGTTATTTGGTTGCTGTTTTGTTTTCTTTGTATTGGGGCTCTAGCCTTAATTTCATTAAAAAAATGATTTTTTTTTTCCTGATAATTGTGTTACTTTGTCTACAACATTATAAAATATCAGAAGTTAATGAGACCTTTTCAGTACTTTTTGTAGTACAACATATGAAATAGAGTTTTGATACGTAGATGCTAGTTTTTAGCTTTTTGTATTTAATTCAAATGATTTAAAGAATAAAAAAATTGAAATAGCTACTCAGTAAATTTTCTTCTTCTTTTTTATATCCACAACTGTAATTTAAGATATGGCTTACATTCTAAATAAAAAAATAAGTCATAAGAAAATTATGAATAAAAAAAATTATTGTTTCTATTATTGATTATTTAAGTACTTACTTTTTTAAATTGGATATTTATTTCTAATTATCAAAATTTGATAATTAAATAAATATATATATATATATATATATATATATATATATATATATATATATATATATATATCTAGTGATTCATTGATTATTTAAGGAAAAAGTTCAAAAACTCCTCTATAGTATTGTTTTGAATCACTTATTTCCTATGCTTATTTTAATCATTTAACCTCTCTGATTTTTTTCATCCACACCGTTGCTTAACACTGTTAGTAACTTAAACTAAGTATACATATTTTATCTTTTTTGGAAGAAGAAAATAAAGTGATAAAAAAAATAAGATCAAATGTTATGAAAGCTTCGAACACTTAACAAAAAACTAAAAAAAAAATCAAATTTGTCTAAATAAAAATAGAATAAAACCAAAAATAATAAGGTTAAATATATTAGAAATCGCGACAGTGACAAAAAAGATTAAAATTAAAAAAAATAACAGTTCAAAAGAAAAAAATACTGAAGAGGAAAAATAAAAGAAAAAATTAAGATAAAAAAGAAATGAAACAAAAAGAAATCACAATTACGAGTTTTTAATATATTTGGTTTTATTTTTTATTTTATTTTCATTTTTTAATCCTTGATCTGTTTTATTCTTTTTTATTTAGATATGTTTAATCTTTTTTCTATTTTTATTTAATTTTTGGTCTATTTTAATCTGATTTTTTTCTTCTTCTTTTTTAGCCTTGAGTCACCCTCATCTATTAAAGATTTTCGTAAAAAATTTTAAAAAAGAGATAGAGAATAAAATAGCGATATAAAAAAGACCAAACATATTCAAATAAAAAGAATAAATTAGATCAAGGATAAAAAATAAAAGAATAAAAATCAAATCAAATATATTAAAAACTCGTAACTGTGTTTTTTTTATCTTAATTTTGTTTTCTATTTTTTTTATATAAACTATTTTTTCTGTCACTGTTGTGATTTTTAACATATTTGATTTTTTTATTCTCTTTGTTCTTATTCTATTTTTTTATTTAGACATTTTCTTTTAGTCTTTTATTAAGTATTCTAAATTTTTATAACATTTGATCTTATTATTTTTTTATCATTTTATTTTCTCTTTCTAAGAAGGGTGAAGTAGATATATTTAGTCAAATTTCTAATAGCAGTGGAGGGGATGGATGAAAAAATTATAGGATATTACGTGATTAAAAAAAAAAATAGGGATGTAAGTAATTCAAAGTAATAGTATTGTGATTTTTTGAACTTTTCTCATTAATTAATTAATTCAAAATTGCAAACAATCTTTCTAGAAAGATTATTTTCAACAAATTAAGTGTATGAGTAAGATTGCTAATCTGTATCAAAGATGATATGAAACCCACCGAAAGTATTTCACGTACAGCATACGCGAAATTGAATTTTGGAAAGACAAACTTCACAACTTTACAAAACCCACTTAGAAACTTTACCAAACTTCCACAAATAAATAACGCAAAATCAATTTGAAAGGACCTATCACTAAAATGTCTTGTGGTTAGCATCATTCCAAGCCGTGTGCTTTCAACTTTCTTTTCTGTTTGTCACCACGTGTGTTCGTGTTCTTGGCATCAACATCCAACACAAAAACTTTAGTAAACCTAATCATAGTGAGTTGGATTATATTTAGTTTATGAGTAAATATTATTTTTGATGCTCAGTAAATTTTACTATGTTCACTATAGTCCTTAACAAATAAAAAAGTTATTCGTGGTCTTAAAAAATTTAAAGTGGACCAATTTTAGTCATTTTGAGGGACTAATATGAGTTTTTTTTGAATTTATGAGGGACCACGATTTCAACTAAATGGGTTCATTTTGAATTTCTTAAGAACCATGAATAACCTTTTTATTTACTAGGGACTAAAGCGGGTATCGTAAAATTTTATGAGAACTAAAAAAAATATTTACTCTTACATTATTAATAGATACATATTATATAGATTCTTGGCAACCTTTCCTTTTATTTCATTATCCAAACCTCACGATCTATGTAACTAACATAAATAAATCGCATTAAAAATATATTATAGTTAGGTTGGTGGTTTTTATTTTATTTTTTTTATAGGTTGGTGCAGTGGATACCTAGCTCTAGACTTTTAAAAGAGGTAGCAGTGTAGCACCAAATAAAAACTGAGGTTGTCAAAGGGAAAAAAAAAGGGAATCCCTAATTAAAGTAACAATATGGGAATAATCAAATAGGTTCTCATAGAACAATATTTGGAATTAACAAGATTCCATACTAAATTAGTTCAAGGGTATGAGATCTATTGTGGTATTTTCTATATCTCGTGAAAAGTGGGAGGAGAAAGCGAAATCGATTTCCTCAAACTGGTCTCATACCAATGTTAATAAGACCACGGAAACCGTCAATTAATGTCATCGAAGAAATATATGCAAATCAAATAAAATACGAAGGAAACTTTCGTGGCAGACTCGAATTTTCCTCTCGTTGAACTTGAATGGCATTTTAAAGCTTTTCTTTTTATTCTATTTTATTTTTATTTTTATTTTTATTTTAAAGCTTTATTCATATGATTCTTTTTTAGTCATTTTCCTTTCCATTTCCCCTCTCTTTCTCCTTTTACCTTTTTTTTTATCGCTTTTTTCCTTCCCATCCTTTTCTTCCTCCTCCTCTCTTTTTTCTTCTTCTTTTATTTATTTATTTTACACTCTTTTTATTTTTAATTTTATATTTATATATTATTACTATTATTATTTTTATTTTTTTTGTTTTTTGTTTTTTTATTTTTTTATTTTTTTTATTTGAGCTCACCTAACATCAATTTCAATTAACTTGGGATAAAAATATTATTGATAGTGATGTTGATAACAAAAGAATGGAATCATTTGCCATTGCCAATAGTGCCCAGGGCCAAGGTTATATACCATGAAGTCTACAAATGTATGCATATGAGTGAAGATATTATATGCTAATATTTAAGGAGATTCATGGCAACTAATGATGGGAACGCGCGTCAAACTACCGAGTCTCGCTTGACTCACCAATAGACTTAAAAATGAGGTAGGAGCAAGTTGATGATATATTTTAGTAAATAAATTAAGCAAGAAGGGTAACAAATTCATTTTATGGTGGATCAGCTCAAAAATAAAATAAAATAAAAAATAACAGGCTAATTTTAAAATAAAATAGTGGAATAAACAAGAATTCATGATAACAATGATGGGTTAAAATAAGCTACCCAAAAGATATTATAAAATATGACTCAATTCATTATTTTTTTATGAATTAAAATGTCGAGTGGCGGGAATCCAACCCGTTGTGTCAGATGTAATGATATGTGCATGTTGTGTGTAATTTTATTTTACAATGGGGTGTGCGTATTTTAATGATACATTTTGGTGCAATGGAAAAGATATTAGGGTTGTTAACGGCAGGCTTTGTAGCTAGGAGTGTTTGCGATCTGGATTGAATCGGTTTTGGAAGTAAAAATTATTTGATCCAATTCTTTCGTTTTGATCATGTAATCATTCATTCGGTTTGGATTTTATTTCAAATCTGATCCGATCCAATCTAATTTTTTTCGGTTTGGATTGGATCGATTTTTGATTTTTTGAAAATCCTAAAATTTATTTCATGATTATTGTGCAAATAACATCTTTTATGTATATTGGCTTTGTAATATATTTTTTTAAATACAAAAGCATGAGATAATATAGTTTTTTTTTTGACTATGAGATTTGAAGCTCTACATAAATGAAATTTTGTTGATGAGATGTGACTAGATTTTTTTTTTGGATTTAAGTGATGAGTTAATGGGTCTTGGATTTAAAAAATTGTAGGCTATGATTGAGGAAAAACTCAAATAGACAGAGAAAAATTAATATATTGTATCGATTTTCATCTACCAATCCAAAAATCGTTCCAATCCAATAAAAATTTGCAGTTTTTATTCGATTTTCGATTTATTCGGTTATCGATTTTTCGATTCGGTCACCGCTGTTTGAATCGATTTGGATATGTTAATGAACACCCCTATTTGCACCGGCCTTTCCCTACATCTAAGTGAATATGCCAACTCGATTCAGATCCACCAATCAAAGTAGCATTTCTGATAATTTGTCAATAATCATACCAATAAATTGATGGTCTATTAAACCCACAACAAAACTAATAATAATAATAACCTTAAATATAATTAGGGATTCTGTATGCATTGTAATTCCTAATGTGTAAATTAGTTATGTACTAAGTCTAATTCGTCGATTAAATTTGTCAATTTAGAAAATCAAACATAATCAAATTATAATATTTTTTAATGATTTTAGAATGTTCATTTGTAATTACTAATTGACAACATAATTTAAAAACGCATTTTGATTATTTATAACTTTAAGAGGTTGATTTTATACTTTCCGCCAATCAAGTATACCGCTTATTATTATTTTTATGAGAGTTTGGTTAATTTTGAATCAACTCTTTTATAAAGTTTCCTGATTTGCTCTCTCCTTTTATTTTTTTTGGTGTGTGCTCTCTCCTTTTATTGATGTACCTTGATTCTTGCAAAAAAATCTAAAAAGACTTGAATTTTTAAATCAAATCAAATCAAACTTGTATAGAAAAACTAGAAAAGAAAAAAAATAAAAAACTAGAAAAGAAAAAAAAAATACAAAAAATTTAAAGAAGAGTTCAGTTGTACTCCGTCCCAAAATATTCAAGTTTTTTATTTGTTTTAAAGGGTGAAGTTTTATTGCCATATACCCTTTGGTGATTACCCTAAACCTTAAGAAATATCAGCCCAGCCCAAATATATTTTTAGGAGAAACAAAGAGTTTTAAATGTGATTAAATTTTGACTCAAGATTAATCTCATAATTAATTCAAAGAGTTAAAACTTGTGAAGATATTAGCTCGGAGATAATTTGGTTCAAAGAATTAATATAAAAAAGCAGTTATATCTATAACAAGTAGTTGGTGCATAGTTAGATAATTTATTTATTTTTTTAAAAAATGATTTGATTTAATAATTTTTTTGATATATCCTGAAAGATATCTCCGTTCAGTCTTCTTTGATCACCTTGTCGTCAGAGTACGGTTCGAAGGTTACCCCTTTTTTTTTTAAGATTACAAGAAATTAAACACAACACCCTACACTACACACACTCCTAACACACATACCCCACACCACTAGCCTAACCCTAGTGGTGCCGAAGGCTACCCCTTTATATCATTTGAATTGATTTAATAATTTGATTGTTTTTCGATTATCTTAAAAGTTAAAACGCCACATCTCATAAGATGCTAAGTGCACCTCGACAAATATTAATTTATAAGTATTATGCATCGTTACGGGTTATGCTACCATTTTCCATAGTAATGTTAATTTCCTAAAACAACCCTGTATGGATAAATTTACCAAACTGCCAACTCCCACGTAGTAACCAAGAAGACGGCGATTTGGAGTGTTTGGGAAACCTAATAGAAAAATACCGGTCAACTGTCCCCTGTATTAAACAGTGACCTCCTCGTCCGGTCCCTTTGTTAGTTAGTGGGACCGAAAAACCAAACACACCACAACAACAAAGAACAAGAAGAAAAAGAAACCAAAAACACCACAACAACAAAGAAGAAGAAGAAGAAGAAGAAGAAGAAGAAGAAGAGAGCTATGTTTTTGTGTATCCATGGCCAAGATCATTCACCAAACCACTAGAAAGATGTCACAACTCTGCCGGAAAATCGTTCAGGTCGACGTCCGGTGGGGGGTGTTCCATAAGGTGTCCTTCGTAGGCCAGTTTTTTCGCTTCATATGGGATAGAATTCTTGTTTGCTCTGTAGGGAAGCAAGCTCAGTACCGAAGATTACCCCTTCGGGATTCTTCCTCTTCTTCGCCGGCGGCCACTGTTGACGACGCCGCAATCACCAATAGCAGCGGGTATGACACGGATTCGGATTTGGTTAACCTCAAGATCAGTTTGTTGGGTGATTGCCATATTGGAAAAACTACTTTTGTGGTGAGCAAGTTTCTAACTTTTAACAAAAATCCTCTGTTTTATTCATTCTTTTGAAAAGGGTAAATTTATCTTCTTCTTTTTTCAAAGAGTATTAGTGTTATGTTAACTAACTAACTTGGGGAATTATGGAAACTCCTCTTCTTAGATCAAGTATGTTGGGAATGAGCAAGAAAAGAGAAGCTTGCAAATGGAAGGACTAAATCTAATGGACAAAACATTGTCTGTTGAAGGAGCTCGTATTTCGTTTAGTATATGGGATGTTGCAGGTGCTTACTTTGTGGTTAAACTTTCCTTTCCTCTGTCTCTGTGTTCTATTTTTTATTTTTTATTTTTCTTCCCTTTCTTTTCAGTGTTTGTTGTTTTGAGTTAATTCTTGATGGTAAATTATTATATGTAGGTGACAAAAGATCCCTGGATCAAATTCCCATGGCTTGTAAAGATGCAGTTGCAATTTTGATTATGTTTGATCTCACCAGCCGTTGTACACTGAATAGGTAGGCCTAGAAACATTATCTATATGATTGATAAGTTCTGTGGAAAACTTTTTTAGAAACATAATGGTAGAAATGATTATTTGTGATTTGTACTTTACTGTGTTTGTGCAGTGTTGTTGGATGGTATGGTGAAGCAAGAAAGTGGAATCAGGTACCATAAATCAAATTTCCTTGGTTAATACTTTTCGTATTGCTTTCATTATTTTTCTTTCGTAAAGTAAATGCCACTGATTAAAGTGTAGTTCCTTCCAAATGCTTTTCACATCGAAACTCATGTGAAAAAAGAGAAAAGCTTTAAAGTAGTACAAATGGATAGAGTAACTGCATATTTTTATATTGATGAGACTTTAGTAACCATTATTACCTGTAAGTGACATTAATTTTTCATTAACATCATGAAGAGAAAGGAACTGATTATTGATAAGCTTATGTATGCTATATTTGTTTAAGATATCAAAATGGTTTGCTAACATAACAATCCCCTTTTAAGCTGATAATATCCCAAATTTGACATATTTTTGGTGAAATCTCTAATAACCATGTTGTTCAAATGCAGACTGCGATTCCCATTCTAATAGGAACCAAGTTTGATGATTTCGTTAGGCTTCCCCCAGATTTACAATGGACAATTGTAACACAGGTAAATGAATAATAATTACAACTGCAACTTATATGAATAGTGTGTTTAGTAACTTACTTGTCTTGGTCATTTTCACCTATTGATGCATGTATGAACCCTTGACTGACTTGGGAACAAGAATAGTTCTTCTAATAAATAGGATTCTTTTTTTGGAACCTCAGCATTTGAAATTTAGGAAATATTATCTGTTTCCGCGTTAAGAATAAACTTCGGGGCCTACATGTTGACTAAAGTTAGATCAGTAATATTCGCAGTTCATTACTTTTTTCTTTGGTACAAGTTAATTACTTGAAATAAAGTGTTACTTTTTGCCATATTCATTGGCTTTTCAAAATTTAACTTACTACACACATACAGGCAAGGGCTTATGCAAGGGCGATGAAGGCAACCCTTTTCTTTTCAAGTTCAACCCACAATATAAATGTCAACAAAATTTTCAAGTTTATCATGGCCAAGCTCTTTAACTTGCCATGGACGGTAGAACGAAATTTGACAGTTGGGGAGCCCATAATTGACTTCTAAAATGTTCTTTACCCTGATTCATATATATGTACATAGCAGGACAAGGGAGGAGAAAAAAAAAAAGAAAAAAAACAAGACAAGCTTTTCATTTTGACACTCTATCACCACTCATCACAGAGGTACCTAATTTACATGTTTTCTATAGGCATTTTGACCATAAATCTTTAGAGGGTGAGAACCTGAGATGGTGTGATTCAGTTATTCTGTCGCTGGTACTCCTAGTTCCTCATGCTGTGGCCGAGGCCAAAGATCATAGCTACTGATTTTTTCACTTGTGCTGTGAAAGAAATGTGTTAGCTTCAAATAGAGGAATGCAAAGATCAAGATGTCAATAATCTTTGGTCCTTTCATAAATCCAGTTTATTATTTTTGTCTGTTGTTTTTCTCTAATTGGAAAAGGATTTGTATATACGAAATGTCAAAATACAGAAGGAAAAACAAACTCTTTATGCAGGGGAGGATGGGGGATTCCCCAAATTTTTCAAAATTAAGTACCTTTTTTTAAGATGCCCCCACAAGAAATGATACTCATGAATCATAAAACGCTGACTATGCCGCTTTATATAACGAGAGATCCATATACAAATAAGAGTCCCTCTACTTGCCGCAGTGCTGTTATCTATATTTTATGATTCCAACACCAAATATAAGTAGTTCTAAGTTAAATAGTTCAACCATTTCTAGATCTACTATTCAGATTTCTATAATTCTTACAGATTATCTCAAATTCATGATAGTTATAACAGATGTAATTATTATTACCGAGATGGTGGCAGATATGGAGAATTGATGCTGATTAGATGGCAATTCATCAAATGAAGTAAATTGGAAAAGAAAAATTAAAATATTAAACATATAGAAAGTTCAAAATTTATGTAAATTAAGTTGTCTTAGATACCATAATCAATTCAAAACCTTAAAACATCAGGTGCATAGATTCTTCCACTTATATTGTGCTCATTCAGTCCAATTTTAAACAATGTATTCAAACTTGGATTCCTCAAAAGATCAATTATAATAAAATCTTCCACCAATAAATTAATGGATACACAATTAGTCCTCTAGCATTAAGAAGGTGCTGCTCAACCCTGCCTTTTACCGTTACGACGTGGGAAACTGGGAATGAAATTTTAAACATGATGTTTTGCTAATACCAAGAGAAAGGAATACGATTTCAGCACTTAGGAAGCAACAATCAGCCAAAGAAATTATTAATAATCACGTCCAAATTATACAAGCATTAAACAAGCTACACTTGGAGCATAGAACACACAGTTTGAATAACAGTAAGAACAAGCAATACAATAGCTGCAATGGAAGCAACCATTTGCCAAGGAGTATTGCAATAATCACGTCTTAAAGTTGCTTTTGCACTATTCCAAGGATGCTTATAGTAAGCATTCAACTCTTCCGAAATGCGAATGTAATCAGAATTACAATTCGTTAGCACAATACTATTGCAAAGTCCATTGAACAATTTAGCCACAGCACTGCTATCACCCAACATATTAATAATTATTCCATTTTGAACCAGAACATCCACATCCTTGCTTGTGTTGATAAGGTAATCAAGGACAACAACATAGTCCGTGATGTAAGTTTCACTTGGATAGTGGCATTGCTCCAAAGCCATCATATTTCGAAACAAACTTTCAGTATCATCTTCCACTGAAAACTTTGGGATTTCAAGATAACGTCCTGAAAATTTCAAGTCAAACAAGTGGCTTTTTTCTTTTTTCACCCTAAATTTCACTCCAGCTTCATCTAACTCGGTTGCACTAAAAAGATGGGTTATTAATTCATCTTTACTCCTTTCAGGTCGTCCATCAAGTTGTGGTAAGAAAAAGATTCTAAGCAAATCTGTGAAGTGTTTCATGCTATCAGTATGTTTCATATTGTGTCGGTTACATTCCTCAAAATATTCAAAGGTGAGATCTACAAATGAAGGATGTTGACGCGAGGGAAGAGCTAGATTGTAAAGCTTTTCAAGAACAAAGAATGGAAGTTGATTCTCAAGTAACAATAGATCTGATTTTATACTACCTTTCAACCTTTCTTCGAATGGGATATCATCATCATCATCATCATCATCATCTTGGTCATCATCATTATCATCATCTGTCTTCTTAGAATAATAGTCCGTTAAGAACAACTCAAATATGAAACAACAATCCACTAATATCAGTTCCACAAGTTTCTTCGTGCTAAGCTTAATGCTGTCTGAGTAACAGCGACGAACCTTTGGTTCTAACTCTTGGACGCAGCTAACCAAATTGTCTAAGCTTGTCTCAGTTCGTTCTTTGAATTTTTTGCAACATATTAGTTTGTGGCTTTCCGTGTTTCGCAGTCTTGGATTGCCATGATGAAAAGGGCCTATTGAAACAACTTTTGGGGTATATGCACCATTGTTGAATTTGCGGATTTCATGGGGCACTCTGTAGATGCAACATTCAGTCGTGAAGAGAGGTTCTGCCTTGGCTAGTTTTTCTTCAATCTGTATAGCAATATGATTACGGTTTTGATCCGCCATCTATATATATATATCAATTAAAGAGAGATTAGAAATGAAATATATATGCTCAATTATAAGTAAATACAAAGAGTCAATAAATAAAAGTCGATTGCATAAAAGAGGATGAAAGAAGTTTAAATAGTAGCACCTAATGTGAAATAGACTCTTCTTATAAGAATCAAAGATTTTTGTTCTCTTTACTGGAGTAAAATTAACTATGTTGATTAAACAGCACAAGCACAGGTGCACAATGAGGGTGGAGTAGGGTAGGGTATATATATTAGCACAAGCAGGAAAGCAGGATGTGCTTTACAATAAATTAAGGAAAAGCCATTTTTCCCATGTGTCCAAATAGAGGAAATCTCAGCAGGCCTAGTTTGGAAGGAAAGTGCACCCAAACACATCCAATTTTATTCCATGCTTCTTCTATTGACCCTGGCTCTAAATGGTTTAAGGGGGTCCCAAAAGTGTACTATCCAATATTTATAGCAGTTAGAAGATGAGTACCGGGAGGAAAGAATATGTTCCCTAATGGGAGTAGATCTCCTCGTATGAATCAAAGTTATTATTATTTAATATTTTTTATCTTCTTTTATTAATTTATTTTTTTCTCTATGTATTTTTATTTTAACTTTTTTTTCCTTTTCTTATGTTATTTAATCTTTTATTCATCTTTATTTTCACTTTATTTTATGTTATACTTCTTGTGAATTGTTTATTGCTATGTTTATATTTCTAATGTTATTTTATACTTTTTTTAATTCTATTTTTATGTTTTTTTTCTCAATTTTTTCGTACTTTTTTATTTGAGTTTATTCGGGATAAAGATAATGTTATTGTATTTTATACATATATATATATATATATATACAATTGTAGAACTGCTTTGAAACTATTTGTGGAAGGCAATGGCACCTTGAACAGTCACATTTATCATTTATGTCGGTGTATGTTAGAGTTGTGGTTTTTGTTCCTAATATATTCATTAGGAGACGCATTTATATTAATTAAGGTTAATTGAAATTATGCTTACATTATTAAAATTTTATTATAAATTTATCATTAATTTGAAACTTCTATATCATATATACAAAATTTTATAAAATATATTTTATATTTAAAAATTATTTAGAACTTATTATTATTAATATTGACAAAATATATTTTTAAAATATATCAAAATGGTGACTATTTAATTATATTCTTATTATTATTAAGTTTTTATAAAATCTAATATAAATAATTAAAGAAATAAATAATTATAATTTAACAGATTAGTTAATAAATTATATCATATAAAACTAAAATAATATAAGAATTTCAGATATTATACAATAAATTATATCATATAAAACTTTAGCCGCATTCGCACCTAAAGTTGGCAGTAGACCTGCTCGTCCATGGTTAAATTTCCCCAAAAAGTCACACGGGTGAACGCTAATTAATTATTTTATATTATATTTTTCTAATATATTTTCTCACACAAACAGGTCATTGGATTTGAGGTTTTTATTATTATTATTATACTTTATGTTTTAGAAAATAGAGATGACGAAAATTGAACTTATTTATCATGATTCTGATACCATGATAAATAAATATCTTATCTAAAAGCTCAATTCTTTACAATTATTATTTATACATGGGAAGCAAGATCTCATTTCACTTAGCATTTTTTAAAAGAGAGATAGATATTCTCATATATTATTTAACATGATTATATTATGTAGAAGTTGTTTTTTGTCGGTTACAAATAATTACTTGCTTTTTGGTAGGGCATGTTTGGTACATAGCATAAAATAAGGCCTGATAGTATAAAACATGATTGTATAAGATCTGATTAAATTTTAATACTATCCAGCGTTTGGCATAATATTGTATAAGATAATATATTGTATAAAATAATATCATCAAATGCTTAGTAATACACTGTATAATACTAGAAAGGTTAAAAATAAATATTTTTGTAAAAAATACCTTTTAATTATAAATTTACATAATTCTTTCAAATATATCAGATGATATTATTTTTTATAAAAATATGTTGATTAGTGTGTCCAAAAAATATTATTTTTTACAAAAATAAAAATGTCCAATATTTTAAAAAATTATATATTGAAAATTTATTTTTATTTTAATATACTAAAATTAAAATAATATATTAATTCTTGAGAATTGTATTGGTTAATACATCAATCCCTTATCAAGCCTAATCCTACCCTCTTAGGCCTGATTAAGTTATACATCATTTTGATGTATAAAGAGATTTTGTTGTATAGGCTTATACTATACTATGGTTACACCAAACAACTAAAAATGTCGTAACCAATAGCGGACTGAAGTTGTTGAAGTTTATTAGAGTAAAGTATCACTTAAGGGTATATTTGTAATGTCAGCTGAGGGCACTTTTGTAATAGCTCAAATAAGGATTAGTTAGTGTGGAACTGATTCTGTTCAAACAGAATCAGTGACGTGTCATCAATGTATCTCTATAAAGATCAACGTGTACGGTTCCTGATTCATTAAGAAAATACATGAAATACTTTAGCTTTCTCTCTCATCAGCATTCTCTGAATGTCTTCTCTCTCTCGTTCATCTCTTTCTTCATTTCTTTGATGGTATCAGAGCTCTCTTCCTGAGGGCCTGATACGAACGTGTTCACCATGGCTTCCGAATCGCCATCTCCGTCACTGTCTTCCACCGTAAAAGAAACAGCAGAAGCTCGATCTTCATCTTCTCCGTCGCTGTTCAACCACACGATCTCAGTCAAGCTAACTGAGAGCAACTTTCTTCTGTGGAATCAGGTTGTAGAACCTGTCATCACTTCTCACCAACTCCACAAATTTCTTGTCAACCCTAAAGTTCCTCTACAGTACGAGTCAGAACAAGATCGAGAAAATGAAGTAATCAACCCTGCATACACTGACTAGATCCGTCAGGATCAGATGCTCCTTTCATGGATTTTGTCAACGATCTCCGAAGATATACTGAACGAGATCTTAGGAGTCAGTCATGCATACGAAGCGTGGGACCAGATCCACAAGTTCTTCCAAGGAATGATGAGATCTAAAGCTCATCAACTTAGATCTGAGCTTCGAACCATGAAGAAAGGTGGAAGATCAGTTGCTGAGTATCTCAGACGTTTCAAATCACTGTGTGATGAACTGAAAGCTATCAAGAGTCCTGTATCCTTTGAAGAACAAACCAAAATAATCTTGGCTGGACTTCCTGCAGAGTTTAATCCTTTTGTCACATCTGTAAGAGCTCGTGAGAATCCTTACTCGATAAATGATTTGCGAGTTGAACTGATGTCCTATGAACAGATGCTAACAAAGCAGAATGAAACACTCCTTGCTGAATCAATGTCTGTGAATGTTGTGCAAACAACTTCTGCTGATCAGAAGGACGAATCTGCACCTGGCAGAGCTCCATTTGGTGTGATCCAGCAGAATCATGATCAAAACTTTCAAAGCCAAAGGTCATATGGTTTCAGTAGAGGAAGAGGAAGGTCATTTGTTTGTAACAACAGGAATAGCAGAGGTAGAGGACGCAACAACCTGCAATGTCAGCTTTGCTACAAATTTGGACATAGTGTTCAAAGCTGTTGGTACAGGTTTGATGAAAATTTTGCACCTGAATCATCCTCACCTGAAGCTCCACACTATTTTCCAATTTCTCAACAATCCTTTCGAAGGCCACATCAGTATATTCGACCTCCTGCAAATCCTCCTCAAGTGCTGCTCACAGCAAATCAACTCACAACAAATCAACTTCAGAACACACTTCAACCACAGTGTAATGTTGCCTCACAGGGACAAGGAATCATACCAACTCCTCAAAATGTTCAAGCTATTGAGTGGTATCCGGACTCAGGAGCTTCCCATCATGTCACAGCACATCCTCAAAATCTTCTACAAAGCACTCAGTTGTCAGGAGCAGATCAAGTCTACATAGGGAATGGCCAAGGTCTAAGGGTTAATGCTACTGGTTTATCCTCCTTTCCCTCTCATTTTAAACCACACACTCAACTACACCTTGACAATCTATTACTTGTACCTTCTATCACCAAAAACCTCATTAGTGTGAGTAAATTTGCCAGAGATAATGGAGTTTATTTTGAATTTCACCCCTTTACTTGTTGTGTAAAATCACAGGAATCTCATGAAGTGCTGCTGGAGGGTGACTTGGGTTCAGATGGCTTATATCGCTTCAAAGAAATCTGTCTCACTCCCAACTCCAGACAGAATTGTCATTCTACCTCACTGTCTCTTTGTAATACACCTATAAGTCATAGTTCTATTTCTTCCAGTGTAAATTCAAAGTCTACAATAAATGTAACTTCTAGTCATCAGAAAGATGTAGCTTCCTCATATATGTACTCCTTATGGCATTGTCGTTTAGGTCATCCTCATACTGAGGCACTTAATTCTGTTTTGAAATCTTGTAATCTCCCTATTCCAAATAAAAATGATGTTGAATTATGCTCAGCTTGTTGTTTGGGTAAAATACATAGGTTACATTCTCCACCATCTACCACAGTTTATGCAAAAACCTTTTGACTTGATATTCAGTGATCTATGGGGTCCTGCCCCTATGACATCTACTTTAGGCTTTACATACTATATATCCTTTGTGGATGCCCACTCCAGATATACCTGGATTTACCCTCTCAAACAGAAATCTGAGGCATTAGTGATATTTTCTCAATTTCAAGCTCTTGTCTCCAATCACTTTCAATCCTTATAAAAGCCCTCCAAACTGACTGGGGAGGAGAATTTCGATCCTTTCATCAAACTTTAAAACAACAGGGTATTGTCCATAGGATCACATGTCCTCACACTCATCATCAAAATGGAGTGGTTGAGAGGAAACATCGTCACATAGTAGAAACTGGTCTCACATTGCTCGCTCATGCATCTCTACCCATCAAGTTTTGGGATCATGCATTCATTTCAGCTGTTCATCTCATAAACTGTCTTCCAACAGCTGCATTGAATTTTGAAGTACCCTTCACCAAG